ATCCCCTAAAACTATATCTCTTAATCCACCTAAAACCTACTTTTTCAACAAAAAGCTCCCTTTATTCCTGAAAATCCCCTCCTCCAATAATATAAATTTCCCCATTATTACTTATTACACTTTTAGCCAAAACCCTTCCTTAATTTAGACAATTTTTTTCTAGTTTTTCACATTTTTATTCCTTTAAATTACATACGAAAATCTCCCTACTTGCCCCAACCCTTGAATTTCCCCCAAAAATAAAAAACTCGTCAAAACTACCCTCTTTTACAGCCAAACAAAACCCTTCCAAACCTACTTAAAGACTCATTTAAATGCTTTCCCATATATTTTTTTCTTCACTATACTTCTCAATAGCAGTACTCCTTTATTTATTGCAATTATACCCTCCACAAACATATATTTAATCCATATAGATAAAAGTCTAAAAAGCACATCTAGGTATTTATAAAGGACTTATTTTTTCCCATTTTCGTCTTAAAAAATCGAACCTTTCGCACTCTTATAGAAACCCGTTTATCCCTTCCCCACATGTTCTTCCTCCTATAGCATACATTTTGCCTTTTATATAAATTATTTCATGCGCATATCTTTTATGGAGCATATTAGGAAGATCATTATATGAATTTGTATATGGATTATATTCTACAAATTAATCACTTATATATGTTAGGGATGTATTTACACCTCCAGATATATAAATTTGATTAAACAATCTTATAGAAGATGTGTAATTGTATATTTTTAAACCTTTTGGAGGTATTTATTTATTAAATTTATTTGATTTTGGGTCGAAGGTTATAATTTGTTTTTCGTGGGTTTATTTATTTACACCAAATATGTATAGTTTATTGTCTTTTTATGAATTGTATTATTCTTATTGTGAATTTTTTTATGCATTTCCCATTTTGGTTTTTTAGAATAAAAAATTGAAAATTTTTAATTTTTTAAAATTAATTTAAATTTTTCATAAAAAAATAATATTTTTTTTTAAACAAAAAAAATTATAATTTTAGTGTTTTTTTTTTTTTTTAAGAAATACTATTTTGTCTATTTTGTTGTTGTTGTTGTGTATTTTTTTTTTTTTTTAAGGAAGTATTTTGTTTTATATTTAATATATATATATTATTAAATTGAGAAATAATATATTTTTTTAACAAAAAAAAAATTATTAATTATATATAATTAGTATTAAAAATAAAATAAAAAAATTAAATAAATTTAAATAATTCTGCACAGAAAAAAATAAATAAAAATAAAACAACAATAAAAATACAAAATTACAGAATTTATTAAAAACTTCTTTTCTTTTTTTATATATTTATTTATTCTTATTATAAAAAAACAAATCTCATTATTTTTCTTCTTTTCTTAATCTAGAGTTTCCATTAGTTAATCTAACTCCAAGTTCAGCTGATCTTTTAACGATTTATGCCTTGACTCTAGCTGATACATTGTGTGCAATTTCTCCACAATATTATCTATTGTTCATTAAAAGAACTTCGAGGTCTTATAAGTTAGAAACTAAGAATTTTTTAAACCCATTGGGGAGTAAATGTCTAGTTGCTTTGTCAGAACCGAATCCGATTTTTACCATACTTCTTTATCCTCTGAATCTACGTCTGACACGGTT